TTTAGGTTTATATCTCACATATAAGTGATATCATGTGATTTTCGACTTTTTCTGTCTGGTTTATTTCGTTTAGCATGATTATCTTGAAAGTCCATCCATGTTGTTGCAAATATCAGTATTTCATCTTTTCTTTTGGCTGAGTAATATTCCATTGTATATGTGTACCACAGCTTCTTTAGCCAATCATCTATCATATGACACCGGTTGCTTCCATGTCCTGGCCACTGTGAATAATGCTGCCATGAACATCGATGTGCAAATATCTTTTCAGATATGTGTTTTCAAGTCTTTGGGGTAAATACCCAGTAGAGAGATTGCTGGATCATATGGTATAGATCAATTCTTAGTTTTTTGAGAAACCTCCATACTGTTTTCCACAGTGGCTATACCAGTTTAGAGCTTGATTTTTAAATCTTCATTTTTTGTTAACCTTTAAACTTGAAAAATAAGTTACATCCTGTGAAAATGTTGCATTATATTTCTACAGCATGTAGTGATATGCCAAGCATGTGTATAAAATAGTGTGTGTGCTTGTAAACAAGATAATGTGTAAAAATCCCTTTCCAGTAATTTCAAGGAAGATGATATATCTTGGAATTTAACCCAAGTTTACATTTGTTTGCAATGGGTATCGTTTTGCTTTGATAGTAATTTGATTTTTATGTCAAATTTTGGTCTGCCAGTGAAGGTATTAGTTTTTTATTTGAGATTTTAATTTAGCAGGCTTAACCTATTAAAATATGTTTGGAATAGTTTTTTTGATTCCATAAACTCAGAAGAATTTGTTATACATTGGAACACACTGGAATCCAGAAAATATTACACATTTCTGATATGTGTAGAAAATGGTCATTATTATTAAACCATTGATAAAAGAGCAAAAATTATTCTCATTTAGAAGTGTAAATTACTTTGCATAACTTAGGGTATTTACAATTCTGCTGATATACATTTAGGTATGTTAACTATGTTTTAGAGTTGTACTGTTTGTCACGTGAGAATTTTCAGGTGGATGTATAAAATATTTTTATTAAAAGCAAATCCCTTCTTCATTGTTGGTGCCTTTCCTGATTACAAGTACAGAACTGCTTTACAGTTTTTATTGTGAAATTTTCAAAACCAGTTATCTACACTTATAAGCAATGGCTGTGTTAATGAAAGCAAATGAGAAAAGTGTCCTTAATGGTAAAAATCAATATGCAGCTAAACTAGAATGTGGCTATGTGTGAATGCATTATAATATAGAGTCCACCCAATGTTCAGTTAATTGAGCTCAATGTTACTTGTGAATTTCTTCTTAATCATCATGAAAAAACCTGATTAATCAAAGGAATTATAAATTATTCCAGTGGTAGAAAATGCTCTATCTCTATATTTTAAATGACTCTGTTAGGTATCTGTCTACATACACCTCAGTTCCAAATTGTATAGTGCACAACTTTGTGTGGTACTATGCACAATAGTCACCAAGAAGTTACTTAAATATTTATTTTCTTTATTAATTCAAGACACTTATTTATTAAGTACCAACCTATGCCAGTCACTGTGCTAGATTCTAAGAATAAATAAAATATGGTCCCTGTCCCAAGAAGCTTACGGTCCATTGAAAATTAGGAAAATGAGTACCCTCAGTCAGAGAAAAAGTCAGTAGCTACTATTTATTATTTACCAAGTAGGCACAAAGCAGCGCATATCCAATGAGAGGAAAGTCAAGACAGACAGATTAAGTAATTCATCCAACCTCATACAGCTACAAAGCTATAAAGCTGAAATGTGAACCGAGTAATATTTGATTACAAAGCCTATGCAACTCCCCATCACTTTCCTTTTAATTAGTTTAGGTCAGTTTTCATTATTACCGTTTTTAATTCTAAAGCTGTAGATATATTTTTAACTGATTCAAGGTTTCTGGTTAACCAAACAGATGCATTTTTCCATCTAAAAAGGATATTTGTCTAGACACAAATTATGTTTTTCATTGTCTTTATTATAAATGATGGATGTGGTCCTATGGGAGGATAGCGAAAGGCA